TATATAATTATTAATTATATATATGCAATATATTTTATATATATGTATAATATATATGTATGTATACTTACATATGTATATAAATCTTTACGGTATATTTAATTTCTTAAAATACAAAAATTACAGAAAATAAAATACGATACATATCATTTTATCCTTGTTGTTCACCGAATTAAAGAAAGATACAACGATACATCGTGCATGCGCATAATACGTGAAACGGAACGCAGTCTATATACATGTGAACTTTGAATACGATGGGAAAAAAGTCGTGATTGCGTGATTAAGGTGATACTGGACCCGCTTGCATTATCGATAAAACTAGCGTTTTTGACGTTTTTGTTCCTGTCTATTTTCTTCATAATAAGTTTCGCAGAATAAAAATTTCTTTCCCACGATTTAAATATACATGCTAATGTATATAGAGGCTTTGCCTCTCTGGTCTATATTGTGTCCAAAGCTGGAAAAAATATGAAATTACAAATTTCTATATCCATTTTTATCTTCAGCATTGGTCGCTATACTGAGATTAAATAGATAAAGAAATCTATGATTTCATACTTTTTTCAGCTTTGGACACAAAATGCACCAGGGGCAGATACATTAGTCTGAATATTTAAATCGGTAAGAAGAAATTTTTATTTTGCGAAACTTACGAAGAAATTAGACAGGAACGGAAATATAAAGAACGCTAGTTTTATCGATAATACAGGCGGCTCCGCAGCATCCCTTAAGAGAGCCAATCAGACCTAAAACTTTTGTGTGGCTAGAAATAAAGTAACTATAAAAGTAACTAATGAAATCGTGACCATTATCCTAAAAATGTAGCTGCGTTACCATGAACGTTACTCTGAAAAAAAATAACATCGTTACCCATTCGTTATCGAAAAAAGTAACTTGTAACGGTATAACGACGTTACAAAAATAACGCGTTATTTACCCAATCCTGGTTAATAATCTCCTTAAGGAAAAAAATGAACGCTCGGCTCTAATATACGTACTCTCTTACAGGAATCATTAAAATTATTTTTGCAAACTTTACCAACTCTGGCAATAAAGTCGCTATATGTCGTTCCTGCTGTAGCAAACGAACTATATATCAGCAAAACTCATTATGTATAGCGTATCACGTGGCGTAGTCGACGCTTTCTTAGTGCTGATTGCAGAAATTATTTGCGATTGTTAAAAAATTATTGGGGGCGCCAAAACTGTTGTGCCTCCTCGTAGTCGGCGCCTATGCCCCCTTTGTGTTTGATCAATCGCAAAACTTACAGAGGGGGCGCTAGCTACCGGTGAACTAGCAGACCAAAAAAACCGAGTACAAATTGCGCACGAGCAAGATTATCTGATTTCATCGGAGTGGACGTGTTTTGATTAAAATTTGCCTACTAGCGCCTCTACGTACACAAAATTTGCGCGCTAATAACTGTCATAGCCAAAGACGTTTCTTGTGGAAAAAATATTTATTCCATAATTCAAGTACGTATAATATATATATATATATATGTATATTATTAAATTCTATTTTATGTTATTTATTCTATTTTATATATAAATATAGAACTGCATGTAATAATATACGCGTTATAAAAGTAGAGTATAATAAAAAAAAACACATAAAAATAATGCATTATAAAACTAAGAGCCTTTCTCAACAATTTTTAATTAAATTAATCAATGATTAACTCACGTGCCAACCTTAATATATATGTCGGTGTGCTTGACTGTGCTTAACCTATTTCATACGTCCATGGACTTATAACCTCCAACATTTTTATGAAATCTATCTTGAAATTAGTGTAAATTATAAGTAACTGATGATTCTTTAACGATTTCGAAATAGATGAAGAATGGGCTGTTATTCAAGATAAAAATATGCCAGATACAAATAAACGAGCGGAAAAAACTATGATACTGCTAGGACAACCTGAAAAGGAATACGTGTATCGTATGGATTTCAAACTTGAAATGTATAAGAGAGGTACATCTACATTTTTTATTAAAATATGATAAAGTAACTATTTGAAATAAATAATTTTATTACTTTATAATAATTATTATATTATTTATAGGTAAAAGAGTAATAAATGTAAGAACAAATCCTTTATATGAGCGTGTTAGAAATATGATCGGTGAAACTGATGACTACATGGATTACTATATCATATCCATGTACACACAGTACATGGATTTTTATCATCAGTCTTCAAAAGTTCATGAACATTTTCCTTATTTTCAGTATTTATCAATTCTTTGTATTAATTTCTTTGTTATAATTGTTATCAATATTTTTCTTTTATAATTCTGATGCTATTGATAATAATATTGATAACAAAAATTAATACAAAGAATTGATAAATACTGAAAATAAGGAAAATGTTCATGAAATTTTGAAGACTGATGATAAAAATCCATGTACTGTGTGTACATGGATATGATATAGTAATCCATGTAGTGCAGTTTCACCGATCACATATTTCTAACACGTTCATATAAAGAAGGGTCTGTGAAGCTGAAACGTTTGTAAATGTATTGTATGCAATTTTATATTATAGATTATATTAGAACAAAATAATTTCCCAGAATTTCTTAAAAAAATAATAATTTCGAAATTAGATTTATCATAATTACAATTATTTTACCGGGAGTGAGGAGGCTCACCATGTTCACAACTGTATCGCAAACAATTTCAAAACCGGTCTGCAGAATAATTTAGGCCAGTCAGTCTCAGACACAGTGAGTTACAACAAATTGTTTGACAGTATTAAATTAAATTATCAAATCACAAATATCAAATGCTAAGACTCAACCACTGTGCACAAGCGAGACTGACTAGACAGACGTGACAGACAACAACGCTATTATTTATAATTTTATATCCTGTCGATCTAAATATTCTAAATACAGTTATCAGAAAGAAATTACATTATTATATTTTTTATATTAATACTGTATTTTATAAAATTATATTTTCTAAAATGACTGATTGTTCTGTACCAGACTGCAATAATTCTGCAAAAAAGGGTTATATTATGAAAGTCTTTCCTTGTAATCCTGAAAAAAGAGCAAAATGGGCAGCGAATGTAAGTCGACTTAAATTTGACGCCATGACTATTTCCGGTTTTTGCTGAAAAATGTCAGCACCAATCAAAATTGGAAACGTTATTTCGCGACTCTGATTAGAGGGTCTCTAGTATCGCGTAACTGCGTAACCAATCAGAAGCAATCTGCTATTGTGGTTTAGCATTTTACTGATTATTGATTGGTTACGTGATTACGCGATACGCAGCGAGTCCCCCTCATGGGACTCCAGCCTTAGCGACGCGACGACGTCGTGAACGCAAGCCACAGACTTCTATATATACTACTAGACTGCTAACTCCCTTAATACAAGCTTGTATAAAGTGGACCCTAAAATTTATAATAATCCTGCGCATGCGTCACGAACTACACCGAAGGAATGTAACATGGCTATGTCTGCGCTGATTGCGATATTGCGAATAGCTGTAGTATTGTAGCCGTAGGTATGGTAAATGTTGAGAAGACCCCCTTCACCTTAACTTTTGATAAAAATATACTCAATTGATGTGGTTTTGCATGAAACGAAAGAATCTGGCAAAAAAAGTGTCGCTCTGCTTCGCGAATCGAGATATTAAGCGTTAAAGTTGATAGCCATGTAGGTTAGTACATCTGTCATAGCTACGAAATTCATTTTATTTTAAAAATAAATTCGCTTTAATACTTAATATCTCGGTTCGCGAGGCAGAGCGAACTTTTTTCTGCCAGATTCCTTCGTTTCATGCAAAAACTCATCGATTGTATATTTTTATTAAAAGTTGTGATGAAGGGGCTTTTCTTAACATTTACCTATTATTACAGCATATGTACCACAATTTAAAAACCATTTTCAATTACGATGCTAGCAAAGTGTGCCTTTCCAACATTACAATACATTTCCAACGTTACAATACATAAAGTATTGATAAGCTGAGTTTTATTCAGTAAGAATTATTAATTAACTTAAAGTATATTTATCAAAGTAAAATAATAAAGGGCAAAGAGAGCCGATAACATAAAAAAACTAAAACTTTAATTTAAATATAATGTAGCTACTACAACAAATGTTTCTACTCCGATCGGGTCATATTTTCAATGTTACAATATTTACCCAGGTTAATTGTCAAAATACGTATGAGCGTGCTAATGTATGCGCATGTGTCGCACGGGTCACGCGGTGCGATTCTTGACGCATGCGTATAATGCACAATCAAAATTGGGGTCCACTTTTTCAAACAAGTTAGCAGTCTAGTAGTATATATAGAAATCTGTGACGCAAGCGCACGGTGTTCGGGCGGTTCTCGCCATTTTCGCGGGTTATATTGCGTCATTATTTGTGTTATTCACCGCCTACGGCGGCTTTTTCGTTAAGCGGGGAGCACAGACTTTTGCATAACGCATAAACCATATACATAAAGAATTTGATTGGTCCATTGACTCATGCATAAGAAAATGGGCCAATGAAATTCCTTATGCACATGCTTTATGCGTTATGCAAAAGTGTGTGTTTACACACATTTATATACATAAACGTATAATACAAACACAACAATACATATCATACACGTATTTATATTTTTTAAAAGTACATGATTCATATATGCATATTATGTGATAAGTACGCACAGATATAAGAATTAATTGTTCTGTGTTGCAGATGATACTGTATCCAGCGGATTTAGAAACTGAGACAGAGGATGCGTTTTGATCAAGATGTTCCGTCAACATTATCACCAAACATGTATCACCCTCGACATGCTTTGAAAAATGCAGTAAGTAAATGTTTATTAGAGTTTAACAAGAAGAAAGCAGTTGGGGAGTAATAGCCAAACCGCAATCATGTGTTGCGCCTACGATACCTATTCTAATTATTCCCTCCGTGAACACGTGTATGAGTCTTACACATAAACGATCCTCTAACCACAGTTTTTGCCACGCCTAGGGCGAATTTCAATCATCTTCAAGCCAATGTTTGCTCAAGCGTGACAGGCAGCGATAGCACAACCTCCATCTGGACCTATAATATAAATGTAATCAGCGAGCCTGTTCTGACTACATCAAATACTTATTTGAATTACCTACAAATGCAACTGATGTGGATGTTTGTGATTATATCATTAGGTGAGTTTAAATCTCATTAATTTTCTTAATTTATGTTATATGTATAATTCTTTATATTATTATTATATTTTATCATATAGATATTGTATCGCTATTCATCTTGATGAACATATTGATAAATTCCATTTACTTGTATTTATGACTAAGAAACTGACATAACATAATAAACATACACATAAACATATACATACACAAACACAACAACAATATATACATAAAATTAAGAAGAAAAAGGACTTTTTTTATACAAAAAATAATAAACATTGAAATGGCATTGTAAGAGTCAATAAATAAATTATTATAGGTAACAATATTAAACAATATTTAATTTTATAACTATTATAACATAAAACTTAAAACTACTTGAAATCTAACATTAAACGATAAAAATATATATAAATACGTAATTAAAAGTTTCGACTACATTATTGAATCATCTTCAGATTTGGCTTTTACGTTGATGTTGAAATATACAGATAACCGCATTTTTTTAAGAATAGTAGAAAAGTTATACAGTTTCTATAAATCTGTAAAAAAGTTATTCGAAATTTAAAAAATTTAAATTACAAAGACAAATATAAATATACAAACATACCGAAAGATTTATATCACATTTGGAAATATTAGTCAATCTGCTTAACAATAGATGTACAATAAAAAACCAAACTACCAAGAGATGTCATAAATCAAATAGTAAACAATAAAAAATAAATTATAGTTAATATGTTAAAAATGTAAAAAATTATGTCACAATGCATCTTGCAATCAATTATATAATAATATGTCAAACCTATGCGACAGATCAACACAGACTAAAAAAAAGAACTGATATTGAAAGATCAAATTCTATTTATAGGTATATACTCTTTATGAAGACCTTCTGTATCAGTTTGTAAATTTATACACTTTCTGTTTTTTAATATTTAACATTTTTGAAATCAAACGTTTTCTATAACAAGGTTCTTCATCAAGAATTTTTACACTATCCCATTGAAAATCATGATCATGGTTTAATCTACGTTCAGTTATTACCGATCTCACAGATGTATTATGTCTGATATGACTACGATGTTCATTTATTCTCGTCTTTAGTTGTCTATTCGTCTGTCCTACATAAGAAGCTTCCACGGAGATAAGAAATAACAGGAGGGAGTGTATGGCCTTCCAGGTGGTGGGGAAAACTGCGTTATATGTGATTGGTTGGCCACAGTAAGGCCGATATTTCATGTGTCGCACGACAAGGCTTTTCAAGCCTGTTTATTGGCTGTACAACAGAGAGATTCTCGGATCTCTCTGTCCTATAGCCATTCAACGTGCTTGAAAAGTTTGTCGACCGACACATGAAATATCGGGCTAGTAAGGCGTTTTGTACACTTTATTGAGATACTCCTTGCACTATTCTGCACTAGGCGCATGATCTCTGACCTATCTGAACCTATTATGTATGTACTTATAGTATTGTTCGTTTTGTCTCTCGGGAGTAGCTCGGAATTGTTCTGAATAAACCCAGCGTACTTGAATGTGATCCATTTAATGCTGCAAATGCTTCGTTGATCAATCAGAAAAAAAATTTTACGAATTGATCAATCAAAGAACTAGGTTCGTTCGGAGCGATTCTGAGCAGCTCCCGAGAGACAAAACGATCAACAATACTTATCTTTGGTGAATGTAATAATCTATAATTGGCGTCATATTTTTCCACAATACATAACAATATTAAACAAAATGCCCATGCGATATAGTGCAATAGGTAGCAAAAGCAATACAAATATTAATAAAGAAGAAATAGACATGTCATTAAAAAAAATTTCATGGGTAAGTATAAATAACTATATATGTACACACACACACACACACATATATATATGCACACTCACGCACGCACGCACAAATACACACACACAGACACATATATATACGTATGTATATATCATACTTATAAATATTATTTATGAATTTTCCATTCTTCGTTTCAAATGACGCGCTTTGGCAAGCCACACCAATATGGCGCTCATTGTTCCTCCCTTACGTCTGCTTATAGGGGGTGTATGGGGTATATCCTCCCTCCTATTATTTCTTACCTCCATGGAAGCTTCACAATCATTACACTAAATTTTACCCAGTGAGAAATAGAGTTCCGACGAACCATCCGACCGTTACGGACGCGTTTCGGTTCGGATGCTCTTCATTGTATATTTTTGAAAGTGTTGCCAACTTTGACTGTGCATTGTATCATATAGATGCGTGTCCGTGGTTGAGCTCGTCTCGATTGTTCGTCATTTAGCACCCTTTGACGACCTGGGCTCCTATGACGCGCGTTATTGTGGCGTGACGACGCCATAGACGCAGGCGCCCGGAAACCGGTCGAGCAACGCCATTCTCGCGGGCATTGCATCACCAGTTTTTGAAGAAATCTATTGACGTGATCTGGCCGTATTGTCTCCGCTCACTTTACGTTGGGAGACATGAGCCATTAATAATTAAGAAGAAGAAAGATCATAGACAACATTATTTTTGGATGTGTGGAGACGTGAGTCTTTTTGTACCTTAATATATTTATTCATTTTATTTGGACTACGAAAAGATACTCTAATATCGTTCTTGTTTAAAATTAAAATCTTTTGATTTTTTCTGCGTGGACTGGAATGAATGGTAGTGGTACCGTAAGCCAACATAAACTTTCATTATCTTTGTTATCTCTTTGTGTTAAAAGTTAATTTTTATAGTTTTTTAATAATGCATTCTGTGCGCCGCGAAGGTTTAAGATTTCAAATGGATATCATAAAATTAAGAGATAAAAGAATAAATTAGTATATCATAATAATAAGAATATCTTAGATGATGCATTTCATACTTATTAATCATTCTGAAGAGGACCTAAATACGTGGTCAAAACTAGTAAATTTATGTAATATAATGTCATACATCTTTGTTCTATGTTGTATTATAAATTAGTTTTAAGTGTTGTCGGAATAGATTATGTTAAAATATATTATTTAAATTTGCTGTTCAAATTATTATTTTTATTTATATGACTCTTACAATGCCATTTTTATGTTTATTATTTTGTGATATATTTGTACTCTAAAAAGTAAATGATATCCGACAAAAATCGTATCATAGAAATGAAAAGTTCAAGCCATGTTCAAAAAAGGATACTCAAAAATTTAAACCTTTTTATCTAATAATAATATATTACCATGAAAAGTAACTGATATATTATTAATTAAAGGTGCCTGTACAAAGTAAACATACACTTTATGTATTTCTTGAACATGGCTTGAACTTTTCATTTTTATGATTAAATTTTTTTCCCCTCTTTTTAGTTTGGCTGTGTGAATGAATTACGGATACAAATGGCACAAAAACAGCAAAAATATGGATTGAGCATTCAGTTTGCCTCTCAACTAAAAAAAAGTTGTAAAGTAAGTAAATTATCCATATAACCTTACAGACTATTAATTATTCAAGAGAATACTTACAAAACACATATTTATATGCTTTGCAGAAACATATCGAAAGAATGAAACATGCACGGAATGATAAAAAGTCTGGTAACGACACCAGATTGCTCTCGAGAGGCGAACGATCCTACTAATACAGACGAATACAGACGGTATTTACTTACTTTCTCTCTTCTTTTACTGTTTTCTTCAAATTTTATGTAAGAATGATTTATGCGTTTGCGTTTTTTACGTTTAAAATAATCTCTTATTTTCTTTATAGAGGAATCTTCGAAGAAACATCCATTCTCTTGTCCTTGGAGTTACTGGACTGCTTTAACCACACATTACTTAGACATTACAAGTAATTCGCGCACGCACGTCCTTAAGGAGTTAGCAGAGTACACGACCGATCCCGTAGATAAGGGGAAGCTGAAATTGATGGCATCGACCAGCGCAGAGAACAAGTCTGTTTATCAGCAATGGATAATTCAAGAGAATCGCAATATTATGCATATTTTAGAGGATATTCCCAATTCGAAGCCATCACTAGATCTCTGTGCGAGATTTTGGCACGATTACAATGTCGGTACTATTCAATTCATCTCCGAAGGTATTTCTTTTAATTTAAAAAATGATTTAAGAAGAGGTTTCTCTTAAAAAATAATTTGTATAAAAATCATTCTTTCTGTTTTAGCTTCATCCAACTTCGATCCACATTATGGCAGTAGTGATGAAGTACAAAACTCCGACTGGTATAGAATAAACAAGAGCGTAACGACCAATTGGTTGAAGGAAAAACATCCTTCCAATCTACCTTGTCTTGTTCTGATTTTCGTAAGAAAATCTCAGTTCCCCCCGCTTGCCAACGCGCCCGAGTACCCCCATCATTATGGTTGGTCCAGCAACTGGTTTAGCGGCATTCAGAGACTTCATACAAGAGCGAGACTTTGCTAGAAAAGCAGGTAAACATGTATTCGCTTTCGATATCTCCTAACATATTTTCTCCGCCAGAAGAGTGTATCAATATTTAAATTCCAGGTAAAGAAACAGGCGACACGATACTGTACTTTGGATGCAGGAAAAGCCAAGAGGACTATCTCTATCGTCAAGAATTAGAGCAATATGTGAAGAACGGCATTTTAACATTGCACACCGCGTTCAGCCGGGAGCAATCGCACAAAATATACGTCGCGCATTTACTTGAGAAGAATAAGGAGGAAATATGGTGTGCCAATGGCGAACAAAACAAACGTATTTATATTTGCGGGTTAGTTTAAAGCATTTACTATTATAAAAAAAATATATTCAAATTATAAATTATGTATGTTCTTTTTTAGGGGTGCAAAAAACATGGCTTGCAACGTGCACAACATTTTGCTCAAACTGGTGATGGAACACGGTAATATGTCAGAACTTAACGTTGCAAATTATTAAATTAAATTGATATCCGCTCAAATAAATTTCAAATTAAACTTGATATACCTCCCAGGTCAAAAACTAATTGAACTATACTAGTTGTTAGAAATATATATAAATTTATTATTAATAATTACATCGGTATATACGGAAAAGTTTCGACTTCACAGAGTCCTCAACAATCGCAACCGAATTCTTAAAAATTAATTAATTTTTTTTCTCTTTTTATATTATTTTTTTAATTTTTTTGGTATATTGCGAAGAATATCACAAGTCGGCGTTTCGTCCCAGCCTCCACTACTAGATTCATCAGTAAGATAACGTAGTGGAAGCTTACCTTAGACGCCGGTGTAAATTATTAAATCAAGACTCTACATAAAGCAATATATGTATATTTCAACAATTTCGAGAATTTCGCGAATATCAATAAACATCTGATAGCGAGTCGACGTAGTAATACTCTTCGCAATATTTATGTAATATAT